AAGTTCATTGAATTTGGCCAAGTAGATGTTAAAATAAATTTTTGTAAAAATTTAAGTAGAAGTGTATTTCAAACTTTAAATGAAGATATCTTGATACCCATCTAATCATATTTGATAAATTTTTTTTTATTCAGATTCTACTAATGTCTACAAGTAAAACAAAAAAATATTCATTAGATTTGGCCAAGTGGGTGTTGAGATATCTTCAATCAAAACTTGAAAAGATCTAGATTTCCAAATTCCCATGTGGTGTGTGATATATGAAATCTGACGATTATACTAATTTGAAAATCACTGTAATAAAAGATGGTCTAAACTTCAAACTCATCCTACTTCTATGATTAATAGTATTCTTAACTGCCATAAAGATCTAGTCAAATTTAACAATATCTGACTTGATAATATCATTATTACTGACTCTCCAACTATCAAATCTCATATTTAACAATATTTCGATAACTGGACTGCTCCTCAACATATCAACTCTGACATTTTTAATTCTTATTGGCAAACAGAATACAACTCTAAACCTAACATCAACCCCACATGGTATTTTAATACTCTCTCCAACTTTACCAAGGCTGAAATTATATTAATCATCAATCAACTTCCTAACAACAAAGCTTGTAGCCCATTAGGTATTAGCTATGAAATAATAAAACATGCCAGCTTCAACTTTATCACTACTATAATATCTTTCTTTAACCATTGTTTTATCTCTCAAACTATTCCCAAACAATGAAAAGAAGAACACATCTTTCCTATTTCCAAAAAACCTATTTTTGATAGCAATCTTTCTAATATCTAACCTATTAGCCTTATAGAACATATTAAAAAGCTATACACTAAACTCCTTACAAACCATTTTAACCTTACCCTTTTCCAATACAACATTCTCTCTCTATTCAACTTTGTTGCACTCCCTAGCAACTCCACTTCTATACCTATTCACATTCTTAACAATATGATAGAAGATACAAATTGCAACTCAAACCAACTCTGGCTTCTCTCTCAGGACATGAGCAAAGCTTATGATTCAGTCAACTTTGAACTTTTCCAAAAATCTCTATACCGAATCTAAATGCTTCAACAGCTTATCAATATTTTAACTAACCTCTTATTTGATCATACCAACTCATTATCACCAATCATGGTCTTACAAATTTATATTCAGTTAAAAATGGTATTGACCAAGGTGAAACTATTACTTCTCTCTTTTGAAGAATCTATTATAATTCTCTTATTTCTAATATTTCTTCACATTTCTCTGGGTATACACTCTTTACTTTCTATTAAACTAGCCTTATTCACTCCTCCACAAATCACCTTAACACTTCTATTTTAGTTCTTACTTATATAGATGACACATTATGGATTGCCCAATTCAAAACACAACTTGAAGAAATTACTAAAATAGCTTTCTCCTTCTATTCCATGACTGATATTCAAGTCAACTCTACCAAATCCATTTTTATTACCAAGAAACCTTCCTCCAACCTTTCATTCCTTAATTCCAGCTTACAATCTATTCTGCACAACCAACTCTTTAAATTTCTCAGATGTTGGTTCACTCTTAACAACAAACAGTCCTTACAAATTAAGCTTATCCAAAATGAAGCTATTTAGTTAGCCAATATTGCTAGTACTAAAAATATAACAGACAAACAAATTACTTATATTATTAATATCATTATTATTCCTATCACTGAATACTAGCTCCACAATGTTGTAATCTCTCTTTATAAATGCAACCAAATCTTGGGCAAATATCTCACTATAGCCAAATATAAAGTACATCTTTCTTGCTCTATTCCTAATAGCACACTTTTCAATTATAATCTTTACAATATTCACAACATCTGGGATATACAATTACAACACCATATTAGTAATTTTCTTAATCGAATTAACAACTCTTCTACTCTTGGCACTACAACACATATTTGACTTCAACATCAAAATAATCTTTGGTCCACAACTAATATCCTTCAACACCCTTATCCAATTATTGATGGCCCTAATAAACACACTACTACTCTAAAAACTCTTTAATTACTTACACATCTCTATACATGTATACTCTGACTTTTCTTGGCCCAAAACTATAAACAACAATTATACTCTACTTGAAAACATTCTTTCTAACCACTCTAAATACAATATTTTCAAACAACAACTTAGATACAAAAATATCTTATACTTTGAGCTAGACTGGCTACACTTATCTTCCAAAATTTTACATATTCCTAAAGGCAAAAAACCACTTTGGTTTAATTATCTAGAAGATAATATTTTTGAAAATAATCTATTTTGCACCATTCTACTTCACCTTCAGCCCAAAAGCCCTAATTTTTTCACATACCAAACCAAACTCATTCCCAAAACTCACAAACTCTGGGTTTTAACTTATTACAATAATCATATTGTAATAGGCCAAGTTCACAGGACCTTTATACAAACAAATATTATTTCTATAACACATTGGCAACATAATATCGACACCTCTATTTCTAACTACTACCCACTACCTCCTATTTTCTGCACATCTTGTCAAGGCTGCAGCCTTAACTTCAAATATATTTCTAGTTGCTATACTCTAGAAATATCAGCTATTCTTTCTACCCAGTTCTTGGGAAGGAAAAAAGCCAACAAACAACTTAATTTTAATGCAAATTATATTGACCTTATCTATTCTACTAATATCAAACATCCTATAGAAATACCACTACCACCTTCAATTAATATTATTGACTCCCCTATATCTAGTATATTCCACAACAATGAAGCCTCTTATCAGCTCACCCAGTTCGTGCTAGCCAACTAATTTCAACATGAATTTATCTTCTATACAGATAGAGCTGTTAAACAACTTGGTACCGACCAGGTCCAAACTCACAACAACTTAGCTATACAAAATTTCTCTGCTCAAATTTTTAATTGGACCTCTTTCTACAAAGCTGAACTATTAGCGATACTGTCTGTCATCTCTACCATTCCATGAAATGCTAGCCTACAAATCTATATCAAGTACAACAAACTTCTTACTTTATCACCTTATTTTACAAAATACTTCAAATTTAACTCTTGGCCAATTTGGCAAACACTCCTTAATATCCTGAAAGCCTTTAATATTCAACTTTCTCTTTTCAAAGTTCAAGCTTACTCTGAGGACACTTTTAACAATCTTGCAGACCTACTTGCCAATAACCATTTTACTTCTCCAATACTATCTTTTAACTATACTAATCTCTACAATCCTTACTCTATTTTATCTTGGAAAAACAGCTTTATTGACAGTTCTTCAAGACAACTTATTAAAAATATATGCAATATATACAATATAGCCCTTTGGTCCTCACAAAACTGTGACCAAGAATAGTCACACTTTTCTCATCAAATTAACTGGAACGCCTCTTGGCTATACTTCAATAATAATCAAAAAACTTCACATAACTTCACTAGTCTCAAACTAAACTATCTAAAATTTTTCAAAATCAAAATATTACTCAATATACTACCCACATATACACACCTTCCTAATATTTATCCTCATATATTTACATCTCCTAACTGCTTTTCTTGCAATAATTTAGACACTAGTATACTTGTCCCAATTATGATCTTTTAATTCAAACTATTAACTCCTCTATATGTGATACTGTTACCAACAATCATCTTAATCTTTCCTTTTATCAATTAAATAATCTTATACATACTGTATATTCCTGAAAATAAGCTACTCCAAAATAAGCTACCCCTTCACTTTTGAGTCAAAAACTAAGAATCCTCTTTTATCTAAAAATAAGCTACTTCCTGAATTTTTTAAAAATTTTTAACAGTTGTTATTTATAAAAGTCAAAATTGTACTAAATAAATATATACTTTGACTATAATAGAAGTTGTTTAGAATTTAAAAATATATATATTCTAAAAGTTTTATACAATTTGAATGACTTTTTATTAATACACGTTTGCATTTTAATTTAAAATTTAAAATGCAAAAATGTACTAATAAAAAGTTATCCAAATTGTATGAAACTTTTAAAATATATGTATTTTTAAATTCTGAACAATTTCTATTATTATAAAAATATATATTTACTTAGTACAATTTTGACTTTATATATAAAAACTACTTTTATTTAATAAAACATAGTCAAAAACCTCTATTACTCAAAAATAAGCTACTCCCGAAATTTTTATGTAATTTTTTGCCCAAAAATCACTAGTCAAAGTAAAAAAAATTGGGCATATGTTTTATTTTAAACTGATATATGCCCGATTGTTGTTAAATTACAAATTCATCATAGCCCTGATTGATGCAAATTTATGCAGCAACCCGATTTGTATAAAATTCTAGAATAATTAGTCCTGATTTATGTTGATTGTTGGTGCAATTCGGCATGTAATCAGGAGGGACCTGATTTTAATAAATTGCTTAATCTGATAGGTATTAGTACATATCGGCAAACAATCATCTTATTGTAAGCCAAAAAAAAATTATAATAATAAACGATAGCAATATATAAAAAAATTATTTTACAATAACTACTAGTACCAGGTGATAGTTCCTCCTGTTTCTTTTATTTATTTGACACCTCTCTCAGTCAAACAAAGTAATAGTTAAAATTTTCGCGGTTGGATTGGTATTACACAAATATAGATTATAAATGTGCGAGAATGAAAAAGCAAAGAACTTAGCCCTGAAAAATTATCATAATTGTATTATAATAATTTTTAGGGCCAAATTCTTCACAATAAAATTAAAACTTAGATTTTTTTTTATTACTCATTCCTCTAATTGTCATATCTAGCTTTTTTTTGTCACGAAATATAAAGCGCAGATCATATTAGTGAAAAATATAGTTTGTTAGACGAAATCTTGAGATTTTGCACTGAACAAAACTGACAAAAGGTAATGTAACAAATTTATTTTGTACCAGTTATCGATATTGTATGTGTATGAAACAATGTGTTCGTTTACCAAAGCATTTTCAAACATGTCGTCTAGTCACTCTCGAAGGTCACTGGGTATATCTCAGTATAGTGAACAAAGAGAGTTCGATAGTTTATTTAGAGATTTCAATGAAATGTTGCAATTTGCTGTACGAGAGATTACTTTTACAACAGAAGCAGCAACTGATCTTGAAGAGGCTGAAGAACAAGAAAAGGTAAATAAGATTCTTTACCCAGCAACAGTTGTTCTGCTTCATTCAATCTAAACACGCTTATTACATATATTTAGCTCAATCAACTAGATGTTATTATGAGGGATTATAATGATCTAGAGAATCGAATTAATTTTCAAAGAACTGCACTTAACACTCTTAAAATTAAGGTTGATGCGGTACATAAATTTGCAAGTATATTTTAGAGTTTAGTGAATCTTTATATAAGTATGTTTTAATCATTATTCAGGAGTACTATGGCTTTTTGGCAAGATTATTCAACCAGTTTATAACAATCTTGGCATTGTCCAGAAAAAATGAACTGGTTTATTTTTGCCGCCATATACGTAATTTTAGATATTGACCTCTGAATATTACTGTAATGAAAATAACGATATATATATTTTTTTTTAGTGAGAATACTAAGATTTCATTTTTTTGAGCAGAAGGTTTTATTGTTTTAAAGTTTTGTCTTTCGTCAGAAGAGTTTGGGTTTTGACTTTTGTTAGAGGTTTCGTCGTCTTTCATCTTTAATAGCTCTAAAATCTTTAGTAGGTTGAAATTAGTCTACAAATTCTTTGTCATATAAAGTCAGGTTTTCATATGACATTTCAACTATTTTCTTATTTAATCAATTGAACATTTACAATCAATATACGTATTAATTAATTTCTCGTTTCAATTTTTATTCATATAATCTAAGGTTCTCTTAAGTACATAAATTATAGGCCAGAACTCAATTTTTAATCAGTGGAAAGTAGTTTAATCAGTAAGTAGGTTCATTATCGTGATAAAAAAAAGGTTGAAGCTATCTTTTTCAGAAATCTCTATTTCCTTTTCTAAATAACTTCCTTTGTTAAAAATAGCTCAATTATATAATTAATCATAGTACTTATACATGATCTCGATAGCATCTAATCAAATTGAAAGCAACCTTAGTCTAAGCTTAGTGATCATTCATTGATCTAAGTATTAATATGAGCTGTTCATATCTTATTTTAGCATATTCACATTAAGAACATTTCAAATTTTGCAGATTATTATGAATGGATTTATACGGTATAGGGTGTGAAATACCCCTATTTTTAATACTTTTCCAGTGTTTTTTGTTATTAAGGTTAACATTAGAAAATTGTAGTGGATTGTTATGTTTTTTTAAAGATGTATTTTACACTCTATACTATATATATCTAAAAAATCATGAAATTAATTTTGTTTGTAGTTAATTTGCTTTATAGAATCGTGTTAGAATTAGTAATTTGTTAGAAATATGGTTAGACTTAGAGATCGAGTTAAAATCAGTATTTTAGTTCGAAATAGAGTTAGAGTTAGGGATTGGGTTAGGATTGATAGTCTCATGAGAGTGAAGCCCGGAAAATGGCTAGTTGGTTGCTAAATGATCTGAAGTGTCGTGTAATCTACAATCAGATATTTACTTAGATACTTAGAGGTTATATGGACCAAATGTGTATTTATTTAGTTGTAAGTAGCATGAAACTTATCTACCAAGAGCCTTCATAGCCTTTATTTATAATAAAGAATTCGGTATTACAATAAATGGTATAAATGCCATAAATCTAATTTATGCAGTAAAGCTAATTTATCTAACTAATTCTACAAATTCCATAAATGCAATAAATTGCATTTGACCCTATAGTCTTGAGTCATACTTGGGCCGCTATAGATAGATTGGATTCCAGGGCTCACAAGAGGATGATGTCTTTGGTAGATCGTTGGATCATCTGATACCATCAATGATTCATGTATATGTATATAAATGCTAGTTTCTCCCGATGTAAGAAATGTATATCTTTTGAACTCTTCTAATAAAGAGAATTCTCATGAATTATTTCTCTTAATAAGTTTCCTGCCTAGATGCCCAAGTATTGTGAATCTTAATGATTCTAGGAATCTTGAGTTTCATCCCAACTATAAGCAATGATAATAAAAGCATGATCCTGGATAGGGATATTCTAATTTTAATTTGGGTACAATATAAATATTATTATTACTGATTAATGCCCAATCAATATCTGGTTAATATTTGATTTTGTCCAGATTGCATGCTGATTTGTACTATAAATCGGCATCAATCGGACTACAAAATTTAAAAGCTGGCAACAATTAGGTAGTTATCAGTTTTAAATATAGCATACCTGATTTATACCTGATTTGCCAGATTTTGACTAGTGAATGGTAGCTTATTTTCAGAAATATATGGTACTATCTCCTCACATTCTGCTTTTAACTCTTTACTATTTCAACTATATCCTTTTTACTTAATTCTACACTTAAAGGTCTTATACCAATATCTCTAATTCAATCTCTAGACCCATTTAAAATCTCATACTCTAACTCCTCTTAACTTATTATTTAGCTACTTCTTAAAATTTCTGACCAACTCTACAACAATATCTGGATCCCATACTGTACCAATTTTTCTAACTGGAAAAAATTCTGTCAAATTTCTTCTCACCCTAACTTTAATAATATACCTCAATTTTCTTTATAGTCAACCAATTGAAGAAACAAAACCCATTATACTTATAGTTGTCCTTGTGGCTCTGCTGACCAATTAAACTCTGAACCTAATACTTGTTCTTTTCTAGAATAAGCTAATCTTAAAATTAATATTTGGTCTACTATGTGGATCAAATATAGTATATCCACTAACCATATCCTAATAATTTAAACCTAGATGAGTTTTGACCACTCTAGTAGGTTTAGGTTGCAGATAATTAGTTTAGCTTTTAGATTAAGCTTCTAGTCTGAGCTTTTATTTTTAAATATAATTTATATTTATTTGTTATATAGTTAATATATAATTATTTATATAAATTAATTAATAAAGATATAAGCAAGATCTTACTTTAATACCAAAATATATATATATAAATAATCTATAAAACCAAAAATTTATAAAAATTACAAAAAATTTTATTATATAAATTGTATAAATAAAGTTAGAAATAAGTATTCTATATTGTATTATACTAATATATTATATATTAATTCTAGTAAGAAGTTGTTTAATACTTACTTTGAAATTTTACAAATTTATTTTATAATAGTATGCTTTTAATTTATTATTTATATTATTCTATGAGTACTAAAGCATTTTAACAAGGTTATTTCAACTAATATATAACTAATCTAGTATTGTTTAAAAAAATAAACTAGTTTATTTAGATATTAATTTTTAAATAATTTTTTTTTTTTTAAAAAACATTCGGCAGTCATGCTATAACTTTATTAGGCTTTGTACAACTCATCTAGAATATGTAAAATTTTGCAACTAGGACTTATGGATTAGGATTTATAGCAGGTAAGTGATAAACTCTAAACAAGTCAGCAGATAGCATATGAGAACTATCTCTAAACAACAAGTGTTTTATCTAATATTTCATCTAGTGCTATCTAAATTACAAGTTACAACTAACCTGGTTACCAACTTAGTATCTATGTTCGACCTGCTATTGCAAAATTTTTCTCCTTCCGGACCTCTCCTACAATTAGATATGACCCAGCTCTCAACAGTGGGCCTTGCCACCTGTCATGACCAGTGTTGGCCAAATATGGACATAGACAATATGAACTAATGGACATGGACAAATATGGACTATGTCCATATTGTCCATATTTTTCGAATAGACATAGGTGCTTAGTCTATATCTAAAATGTAGTTCGTGTAATTTAAGTTCTCAGAATTTGATCGGCTCAGGTAACCAACATAATAATAGTATTATAATATACTAAAAAAAACTTATTTTCAGCTATACAACTTATATTATCTTATTTAAAATATGTATCAATATCTTGACATAACAATGCTGAGATCTGAGTTAATTAAATCTCTAGGCATAAAAACTGGTATCAAATTAAATTAAATTTTATTAAAAAATAAAATCAATCGATTGCACAAACAAAAAATAAATCACCTGCTTTTTATTTTATCAATTTATAATATATATATTTAGATATATACTGTTTAACTTTACTTTTTTTTAATTATTTTGAGTACTAATTACGCTATTAATCTCCCAAAAGTAGATTAATAGAAGTGGGTTAAGCTAATGAATTAGCAAAAATGTCCACCAATTTCTATTTGGCTGATAAATAATTTGCAGGGTGGATATTATCTTGAAGCATTACTTCTTCTTTATACTTATCTAAGCTAAACGAATCACATTGCATATAATCACCTTCCTCCTCTTCAGCCAGATTAACCTATTGCTTTACAATTATTCCCAGTCACTTACACACCTAACTATTTCTAGTTGTTCAACATTCATTTGACTTTGTCCTTCTATATTATCTATATTATTATCAATATCATTGTCTGATAATTCCTCTTTATTATCTTCAAGGCTTATTTGTTCATTATTTTTAGGTGAAATACCATTTTTTTGCTTGTATGTTTTTAGTGACTTGTCAATAGTAGTAATATTTCTTAAACATAGAAGCTCTGATCTTAGTTGGCAAATAGCAAGTACTTTTTTATACTATTATATTATAAATAGACAAGTACAAATTAATATCTAATTAATAAATATAAATAACTATGTATAAATAACAAAAAAAATATAAAAGTATTAGTAAATAAATAGACAGCTGTCAATAGAAATCAAGCAAATCAACATTTGAATAAAAATCAAAGCCTTAATGTTCACAGCTCATATCTCGAAAGCTATCTTGATGATTTAATATTCAAAAGAAAGCTTATGATCTAAGCTTTCGTTTGAATATTAAACCATCAAAATAGCTTTAAATTCATCGAGATATGAGCTGTGAATATTAAGGCTTTGATTTTTTTTAAATATAGATTTGCTTGATTTCTATTAATGGCTGCCCAAATAATTATAAAGTATAAAGTAGGTTTGCCTTAAGTTGATTACATCTCAAGAAATGATACCATCCTATAGCAAAGAATAATCATTCTACTGATACTGTGGTTATACAAATTGAAAAAATACAGATTGCTACAAGATGTAGCTCTATAGCAATTCTTTTACAAAAATCTCAATATCGTAGTACATCACTATCAAATTAATTGAAAGTTTCTCTATTAAATAGATATTCTTCATTTTCATATAATTGCAATTCGTGTAAAATAGAATATGGTTGTTTGCCAAACCAAGATTTATAATAATATATAACCCATCGTCCCATATGTGCGAAAGAAAAATCAGCAACACTTTGATTAAAATTGGTAATATGGTAATTTGGATGTAATAAAAATGATAGGAGTAATAATGGTTGCTCCCAAGCTAACCATCGCTTTTCTAATTTTGTCATTAAATATTCTTTAAGCTCTTTATCTGGAATATCTTTAATTACTTGGCACACCCATCCAAAACTATGTAGAACTTCAGTAAGATGGCCTTTATCCTGTTAAAGCTTATTTAATAATGCCATATATGGCTCAAGAAGAACCTTTAGTTGCATAAGACTTTTCCACCATTCATTATTTAAAATATTAAAAAGTATATTTCTAGGAAAATCTTTAAGATTATCATCAGTTTCTTCTTCAATCTTTGTAGCTAAATTTTTAAGTGCAGCATAAGATTTAATAATACTTGCAAAGCATAAATAATGGCTATTCCAGCAAGTAGAATTTGGAGATACAAAAGAAATATATAACTTAAATAATGCTGCTTCTCAGAATGAAGACGCTTCAAAAAAAAAGTTGATTGATGAAAAAAGGATACAAGTTGAATAGCTTGTTCAGCAATAGCTGAAAATAAATTTGAGTTTTTAAAAATATCTCTAACACATAAATTCATTTGGTGTGCAAAGCACGGGATAAATACAACCTCAGGATATAGTCATCGTAAACATTTTCTAAATTTAATTAATAATATAAATACTATATTAAATAAAATATAAGTTATATTTATTTATTATATTATCTAGCTGCTTCATATTCAGATGCAGAATCTGTTACAATAGCATTAACTTGAATTTTTTCATTCTTTAGATCACTAAGCATATTTTCAGGTCGATGCTATACATCAGACCATTTTGTTCATTCGTCTGATATGTCTTCTGCATTCCAAACAAGAATTTTGCCTATTAAAGTAACTAAAATGCTTCCAAAGATTGATTCCTTTTTAATATTCTTCCAGCTGTCATATGCTAAAGTAACTCCATTTTTATCATTTGTGCTATTTCTTTAGTTGTTTTAGTTATTTTTTGTACAGATTTTGCCAAAATTTGGCCACTTAGATGTTTTCGTAGAGGTGATTTAATTAAAGAATGAATAAATTAAAAAGTTTCTTTACTTCTGGATTTTTTACTCATGAAAAAGCCCATCTGCATGATACAGTTGCTTTGAGTATAAGTTGTTTAAAATGATCTTGTTGGTCTTCATTTAAAGGCCAAAGACAATAGCAATCAATTGAATTTTTTTTAATATTAACTGATGAGTTTTTTGATGAAGAAGCTTTAGGATTATCTTCGGGATTTTCTTGGATAGCTAACCCAAAAAATAAAATTGATAATATTACATATTAATGTAATAAAACTAGGTTCGTATTATTTCACCAACAATCACTCACATTTTAGTGGCAATTGTTCACTAACAAATTCATTTTACTGATAGTTAATTTCACCAAAGCTTATTTTACTGACAAATTACTTTGTTAGTAAAATGTGCTTTGGTAAATAAACTGTTTGTAAAATGAACTTGTAGTAACTTATTGTTAGTGAAATTTGGTGTCTATAAAGTGATTGTAAGCAAGTTAATCCAATTTCAATAAAACTTATTAAAGTTAATAAATTATGCTTATTATTACTGGCTACTGAAACTGATTTATCTGACTTTTCTAGAATTTCTTCTTGTTCAGACTTATTATACTTTTGTTTAAAATAAATGCAATTTTTTAAATGACAACGAACAAGTTCTTGTGTATTTGCAAATTTATTTTTTTCTGCCTCTGCAAATGAAGAACCTGATATACATTTTTTACAAATGCAATACTTGTTACTTTTATTAGCTTTTTATTCAAGCACGATTATAAAGTCTAATAGACGATGAGGTGGTTTGCCCATATTTACACAACAGGGTAAGAAATTTAGAGTAAATTCAAAATATTTTGAATAAGACCTTTTTATTTATTAAACTTTGTATAAAGAGTAAACCTCATATATATAATACAAAAGCTACTATAAATTTACTAAATTAAAATTCTGCAGCTCAAACAATTGTAATTATAATAATTACTATTGTGCAAGTCTTAAAATTTGCATATAATAATAATATATCATAATTGAATCATGAAACTTTAGTAATTATTCGTTATTTAATAATAAAAAATTTTCATAACCAAATAAACATAGACTCTAATTGTGGTTATACAATTAATACAGACTAGTACAAAAATAAAATCATGCACATGTAAGATAAAAAAATTTTATTGAAAAAAGAATATTTACCGTATATACTATTGCTCCCCAAGTTTGCTTAATATCTCCTTGATCTTAAAAATCTGTGCTAATCTTTAGCATATATGTCTGTGCTAGGGTAAATTAAGTTATAATTTACTATATTTAGAATTTTTATTAGTAATACATATAAAGAAGGTTCTTATTTTTATTTTTATGAAAATTCTAATCAAGTTTTTAAATATATTAGCCAAGATTTATATATTCATTTATTGTTAGAATTTCTCACACTTATTATGCTTAATAAGTTGAATAATCTTGAAATAGAGCAGGTTATATTGCCTGTTACACATATATGTACGTTGTAAAAGGGCGAATCTGGGGGTGACTATAATTCATAGCTAAAATACAACCAAAAAGACCAAAGGCTACTCGAAAGAGTGCGTGGAAGATTTGGTCTGAGAGCCAAGGATCCTACTGCCACTAGGATCCTGGAGTTTATTATTTGATAGTCTTTTTTTATTATAACACTTTTCTACTTTTTAGATACATGAAGTCAAAGGTTATTTATACATTACAGATAACCTTGGGGCTTTTATACAACAATTAGAATCTCTAACAAATATGACTATTTAAAGTATTGGGGGAATCTATGGCTAATGATGAGTATAATCATACTAATTTTATGGCTATGACTTTAGTTTCCACTATTGAATATCAGAGGCATTATACTATTGTTCTTCAATAGAGCATCGCCTCAAGCCAAAATGAAATTAACATTTTATTAAATTCCTTCGCTTTTGTTGATCAATGCGCATTCAGGTCCTGAGTCATATGCTTGGATCACTTTTTTTCTGCGGCTGGGTCACATTACCTCTTTACAATATATGTACGTTATTACGTGCACTATTTTTATTGGTCAATACTATTATATAAATTTTTTTATAGTTCATATTTTATTTGGACATGGATATTATTCGGATTAGTCCATGTCCATATTTGTTCATGTTCAAACAAAATTTTTATTGGACATAGTTCAAATGCCAACACTGGTTATAACTACTTTCTCTTCTTTCAGACTTCTCTTATCTAAGCTCGACAAAATAATTAAACTCTTATTTGTATATAAAAGTGAAAAAAATAAAGCCATGTTTATGAAAGACATAAAAATTTTAGAAAAAAAACACCTCAAAGTCACTTTTTATATAATTATATTCTCTTTACTATATAAGCACTATTTTTAAAAAATTATTAATAACAAACTTATTAAAAAAACTTTATTTAATTATATTATTATTGAAATTTTATAATTACAGTCAACTCTCTCTAAGTGCAACCCCTCTAAGTGCAACTTCTCTCTAAATACAATTAAATAGTCTAGTCCTGTGTTGGGGCTTATAACATAAATGCAAGTTCTTTATTTTCTAAGTGCAAGTTTTTTTTAGTTAGCATATATAAAATTATTTTCTCTAATTGCAAGATATTTTATTAACCAATTAAAATAACTTATTTAATTAAAGTTTTTTTTTCTTAGTGCAAGATATTTTTTTTAACTTATAAACTTGTATTTAGAGAGAATTAATTATATATTAATTTAATTTCTTTAAATGCAAGTTTTCTCTAAATGCAAGATATTTTGCTGACCTATTGACTTGCACTTAAAAAGAGTTAACTGTATATCTTTTTTATATAAAACAAATTGCATAATTATAGAAAAAGATAACTATAATAAAGAGTAGATATATTTTACTATCTGGTATTGTAGTAAATTGCTACTTAATATAATGTTAGTTATATAAGCTATTAATAAAATAATTGTCAGTAAAATAAGAATTTATATTTTAAGTATAATTGTTATATTAAGTTATATTTTTTTTGGCAATTCTGCATTTTTTATTTTTTTTTTTAATGTTAAAGGTAAGACCATGCTCTTATCTTTATTAAACTTAATGAAAACTTTTTATATAATTGGAAAAGGTTTTATATCTTAAGTCTAGTGCTAAGAATAAGAACTCAAACTAACTAAAAAAGTCAAATAGACAAGCCTAGTTTTTTATCTGCGGCCTAAACCTACCAGAGTGCAATTCTGCATTTATTAATTAGGAATAGTAAAACTTTATATTATTATTTGACTCTATACTACAAGTATATTGTGAAACTTTTTATTTTTAATAAAGGCTTACTTAACTTTTACAAAAGCCCAAATATAATCTGCTATACAATAAAAGTATAAAATAACACTTAAGAGCATTAATTTAAAAATTTAAAACCCTTAAAATAGCATATATAACTTTAATTTTTTTAGTTTCAACAATAATTTCAACTATAATTTTAATTATTTTAATATTTTTATAAATTAAATACTGTATAAAACTACTATTGTATTTGGTTTAGTTTAGTTTTAATTAATTTTTAATATAATTTAAATCAATTTTTAATAATAAAAACCTAATTTCACAATTTTATAGTGTTCTCTAATGAGCTAGCTTATTGAAGAACACTACAATTTTAACATTAAACAATTTTAACAATATTGATAAAAAGTTTTTATTAAGAAGAGTAATTTTACCACTATTTATATTCATAGGCATTTTGAATTAAAATGCACCTTTATAAATAAATATAAAAATATAATAGTAATAAAAATAATAAAATAAAAAGTACTCTGGAGCTAGATTTAGTATTAATTAAACTTATTTTTTGACTTGACGAAAGCTTTTCTTCAGGTAGAAACAATTCTAATAGTAAGATCATCAAAAACAATTCAATAGTTCACCACAATGGCTTTTTAAAATTTTGTAATATTTATCTTTGTTTTATAATTTGCAAACAAATATCAAAGAACATTATAGGCAAATTACTAGATCATTTTAAAGATTTTATTACTGTTTTTTTTTTTTTTTTTTTAACAATTCAGCAATCTTGACAATACTTTTATTAGGTTTAAATATTTAAATCACAGGCAAAATGCACTTTTGACTAAAGTTATAATATTTAAACTCACAGACAAAAATGCACTTTTGACTAAAGTTATTTAAAGTCCACCTAATTTTACAAGTATTTGCTAATCTGGCTCTTTGTGATACCAAAATATCCAAATTATCTGTGTTTGATAAAGTTTATCTCTATATCAAGAAACTCTGCAAATGAATTCTTTGATATATCACAAAATAGTATTTATGGCCTTTCAAGATTACCTCCTTTTCTAATTTTCTTATCCTAGCTTCCCAAGCAAAAGAATTCATAGTTTCAAACTGATTTATAAAAAAAAAAACTAATACTAACAAAAATAAAGAAAACAAAATGAAAGAAAGAAAGAAAAAAACTGTCTAAGCAACAAAAAAATAAATAAAAAAACCAAATGAAAAAAGAAAAAGGCAGAAAAAAAACAATCTATAAAAGTGCTATTATAGCTTGTACTAGGCAAAAATTATATACTCAATTAAATTTAAATCTGATTTAGGTCAGTTTGTTAATCAAAGTGCCAATTGGTTCATCATGTGGTAAGATACATTAATTGCTAAAACAATCTTGTATTTATGTCCTACTTTGTCCATCCAAAAATAGAAAGTGTAAACAATACTAATTTTTTAAAGAGGATAAGCTAAATCACTTACTTTTTGTTAAAAATTTTGATGAGGTCAGCTATATATGTGATAGAAAAAAAAACACTTGGAATTAGAGGGCATTTATAAATAACATTATATTTGAGGGGGGGAGGGGTCCCCCAAAATATAACGATTTTCCAATATTTTTTTTTTTTTTTTTTTTTTTTTTTTTTTATTAATATAATGTCATAGTAGAAACTTTATTACAGTCAGTCTGAAGATTGAAAGTTATCTTATAGTCTACAAATCCAGGTAAGGGGACAGA